TATTTTATGGGAAACGCTGCCACTATTCTGCCCAACTGCAAGTGGGCAGATTAAAAAAAAATTGTATTCCAGCCAAAGGAATGGGGTATTTATTCTCCTTCCTACCCCGAGTCCCCTGGTGGTGGACACGATTAATGTAAGAAACTGTCAAGCTCACTCCAAATCCTCTGCTTCAGACAAAGAGTCCAAGCGATTATACATCCTGGGCAGGAAAACTACTCCTAGGTGGCTCTTCAACTTTGAGTTGCAAACTACTAGGGCTCGATGATAATATATGATTTTAACATTTATTCTAAATTCACACATTTAATTTAATGACTAGCACAAGACCAAAAGGACTAATTTCAGTCCCTCATCTCTGAGGATCAGTTGATTGTGAAATTCTCCCTGCAGGCTGCTTTCAATGCCACTGAAATGTCTTCTAAATTCTTAGCTACTGCTGTGGTTATACAGAGACCATCTTAGCTTGGAGTTGCCAACTTTCTAATCCCACAAAACCAAACACCCCCACCACTTCCTGAGGTCCTGTACTGCCCCCTTCTCCGAGGCCCTGCTCGTTCCATCCCCTCTCCCTCCGTCGCTGGCTCTCGCACACCCTCACTCACTTTCACCGGGCTGGGCAGAGGGTTGGGGTGCAGAAGGGTTGAGGGCTCCAGCTGGAGGTGCAGGCACTGTGGTGGGGCTGGGGATGAGGGGTTTGGAGTGTGGGAGAGGGCTCTGGGCTGGGGCAGGAGGTTGGGGTGCAAGGCGGTATGGGTTTTGTGCTGGCAGTGCGAGCTCCGGGTGGGGCCAGAAATAAGGGGCTCAGGGTGCAGGAGGGGGTTCCAGGCTGGGGCCAAGGGGTTTGGAGTGTGGGAGGGGGTGTGGGCTCCAGCTGGGGGTGCATGCTTTAGGGTGTGGCTGGGGATGAGGGGTTTGGGGTGCAGGAGGGGGCTCCAAACTGGGACAGGAGTTTGGGATGTTGGGGGTGGGGGGTGGGCTCTGGGGGGGGAGTTTGGGTGCGGGAGGGGACTCCGGGCTGGGGCAGGGGGTTGGGGTGCGGGATACCAGTGGCACTTACCGTGGCTCCCAGGAAGCGGCCGCCAGATCCCTGCAGCCCCTAGATGCATGGGTGGTCAGGGAGGCTCTGTGCGCTGCCCTTGCGCCCACAGGCGCCACCCCGCAGCTCCCATTGGTCGCAATTCCTGGCCTCCCTGGCCACCCATGCATCTAGGAACTGCAGGGACTTGGCGGCTGCTTCTGGGAGCCACGTGGAGCTAGGGCAGGCATGGAACCTGCCTTAGCCCCTGACCCCTGCTGAGCCGCTGAATGGACTTTTAACAGCCCAGTCGGCAGTGCCGACCTGAGCCGCCAGCGTCCCTTTTCGACTGGGCATTCTGGTTAAAAAAAAAAAAAAAAAAAACAGACACCTGGCAACCCTATCTTAGCTCCAGTCTTCTGGACTCCTGAGAGAGGAGCAGAGTACTGTTGAAGACCATCAGTTTGAAGGGCCTAAGCTCTTCAGTATGGCACAGACTTTTTGCTCCATACTCTTAAAGATTCAACGGCAATGTCACAGTCTCCGGGAATTTGTGTGTCTGTAACAAAAAGACATTTTAGCAGATCTCACTGTGCCACTACCACCACACAGGATTTTCCTAGACCTTTGGAGCCTTTGAGGAGGAGATCCAAACCTCACAAAAGGGGACTACCCCTTCTGCAGCCACCTAATCTGCATCTCCTTCTAAGAGAGAGTTTTGACAGTTGATTGAGGACATAGAGCAACATATTTCCTCAGACTCTCTACTGTACAATTCTACTATCCTCTCTTCCCCCCCCACCCCCGCCACCCTTTTTGGCGACAGACTGTCCCACTTCCTACCTACTTAGAAGCATATCACCTGAGACAAGTGGATACTGGAGGTGGTCAACATGGGATATTCCATCCACTTCCACTCTATCTCCTCCTTCCCCTTCTCTCTCAAGGATTTCTCTCACGAGGAGATCATTAAGCAGGAGATCCAATCTCTCCTACTCTTGGGGCAATTGAGCCGGTTCCCTCTGTCCCCAAGTTTGTCAGAAGATGGTTCTATTCCAACAATTTCCTAGTCCCCAAGAGGGTGGATACTAATCCCCGATCTCAGAAAATTGAATACCTGTGTCCTTTCACAGCATATCAGGATGGTGACGCTAGCCCCATAATTCCATGCTTAGATCTGGAGACTGGTTTGTTGCCCTCAGCCTCCAGGACACTTACTTTCGTGTAGCTATCCACCCCTTCCACAAGCATTTCCTATATTTTGTAATAGGGTCAGATATTAGCAATACTGAGTCCTCCCTTTTGGGCTCTGCATAGCCTCGAGAGTCTTTACAAAGGTCCTTTCAGCAGTAGTAGCCCACCTACGTCAATGGGGCATCGCACTATTCCCATACTCTTTATTCTGCTAAATCTGATCAGAAGAATTGTTCGTTGTTGAACAACCTGGCTGGGCTAATCTGAGGTGTTTCCATCCAGTAATAGAATAGATTGTTTCTTACACTGAGGAGTTTATTTTGCATTCAAATTTGGACTGAGTTGTCTGTCTCTGTTAACAGAGTTTGTCATGTGAGAGAAGAGAGGGAACAACTGAAGAGTCTTTTCTCCTTTAGATACAGCCACTATGACTTGCTGATGTGCTAGAGGAGGTGCAAGTTACAACCTGTGATTTAGACCCTGATCCTTTTGGCATGGAGTTCATTATCATTGTCTACCTAGGGAGATAGGAACTACCATTCTGCATGAGACCTGTGATCCATCTAGTCCAGTATCCTCTCTCCAACAATGGCACCTATCTGATGCTTCAGAGCAAGGTCCAAGAAACCCCACAGTAGGTGGATAATCTGCACCCCAGGAGAGTCTCCTCCTAACCCTTAAAATATAGAGATTGGTTTAAGGCAGGGGTCGGCAACCTTTCAGAAGTGGTGTGCAGTGTCTTCATTTATTCACTCTAATTTAAGGTTTCACGCGCCAGTAATACATTTTAACATTTTTAAAGGTCCCTTTCTATAAGTCTATAATATATAACTAAACTATTGTTGTATGTAAAGTAAATAAGGTTTTTAAAATGTTTAAGAAGCTTCATTTAAAATTAAATTAAAATGCAGAGCCCCCCGGACCAGTGGCCAGGAGCCGGGCAGTGTGAGCGCCACTGAAAATCAGCTCACGTACCGCCTTTGGCACGCGTGCGATAGGTTGCCAACCCCTGGTTTAAGGCTTGAAGCATGAGGATTTATGTCCTCTGTATCTGTGTTTGTTGTAACTGTGGATATTCTTGTTATCCATTTAAATGTCTAATCTCTTTTAAATCTTCCTAAATTCTGACATTTTGTGGTAATGAGTTGCACAGTCTTATGATGTGCTGTGTGAAAAAATACCTCATTTTATCAGTTCTGAAGCTGCTGCCCTTTAATTTCATTGAATGTCTCCTTGTGCCTGTATGAGGAGATAGGGAGAGTCAAAGTTCCCAATCTGCTTTTTCTATACCAGTCAATATTTTGTATACTGTTATGTCCCCTCTCTAGAGTTAAATCATCCCAAAGTTTTCAATCTCTTTTCATAGAAGAGCTTTTCCATGTCCCTAATAATTCATAGCACTTTTCTTTGAACTCCCTCTAAAGTGCCTTAGGGAGGCCACAATGTCAGTTTGTCTTAAAGAACCACGTGTTCGCTCCTTACTCGAAGTATCATATGTTGACACCAAAAAAACTATCCAATATTGCCCTATCTTGAATATTGTTTTTTTGGGAGAAGTTTGAGAAAGTTGTGATAAGGCAATTCCAGCAATATATGGAGTCCTCTACTCTCCTTGGCCCCAGTCAGTTAGGTTTTGGCCCTGAAGTGTGGTACAGAAACTGCACTGATTGTGTTAGCTGATGACTTCCTCCTAGCAATCTACACATATATGCTGATTATTTAGATCCCCTTTTGTACCACTGACCATGAGATTTTATTGACACCTGTGAACCTTGGAAGAGTAGCTTGGCTCGTTCCTGAGAGTTTCCAGAGGGTAGTATTGGGCAATTACAACTCTGCTCCATACAGTCCAAGGGAATATCTTCACTTACTGGGGATCGATGCTGCTGCGATCGATGCACCGGGGGTTGATTTAGCGGGTCTAGTGAAGACCCGCTAAATCAACCACAGATCGCTCTCCCATGGACTCCAGTACTCAACCGGAACAAGAAAAGTAAGGTAAGTCGACGGGACAGTGTTTCCCGTCGACACAGCGCAGTGTAGACGCTGCAGTAAGTTGACCTAAACTACGTGAATAACATAGCTCGAGTTGCGTGACTTAGGGCGACTTACCCCTGTATTGTAGACAAGGCCTAATGGAGTTAAGGAGGTAATAATTGGTAGTACTGCTGACTTTAAAGGTTGAGACAGTAGGTAATTGGATATTGGCTTGTTTTGTAAGATGTGTAATTTTTATATTATGTCTGTGCCTAGTGTAAAGAACAGGCATATATTTGAAAATGTAAATAAATTAAATGATAAACTATACAATTACAATATTTTTAAATAGCATCACTTACACTTCAAATTATTTTTAATAAATTTATCTATATCTGTTTTTGATCTGTTTGTTACTATTCAGTGTAGGTTTCTGGATGTTTATTAGAGACCAGACCAAACATCTCAGACCCAGATTTCATCAAGATTTTCTGTACAAGGTTGAATGGGGTCTTGGGCCATGAGTAGGGCTCCTAGATGGTATGGTAATACAACAAATAATACCTAAATCGTTAAAAATTCACATTGGCTGCAACCCAGTGCAATATGCAAAATAAGCAAGAGATGGTATAATTTGTGGTCCAACTTTGCCTCTTCCTACCATCAAAAAACAGCTCTGATTTTACATACTAATTGACCAGACCAACACTGCCTCTATCCTATAGATTCTGCTGCTTTTCTGATGAATGCTAAAAGCTGGTTGCAATGATATAGGTACATATGTTAAGTGTGTTTTTATATCTCTTCCTAGCCAAGAAGTATAAAAAGGTTACTGGCAAAGAAATCTACTCAGATACATTAGAAAGCACACCCATGCTGGAAAAAGAGAAGTTTCCACAGGATTATTTCCCTGAGGTATGTACAGTCCGATGGAGCATTCCAAAGTGTAAGGGTCCGGTTCTAGTTTCTCTTGCACTGAAGACTTCATTGGTGTTACTCCTGACTTAAAGTGGTATGAACTCGATCATCATCAAGTCATAAGCCTCTAGTTTTTTTGTGTCTCCATTTCATAGAACCTATAATATACATTTTTGTAAACCTTTAAGTATATTTATCAAACTCAACTGGAGTTCTATGTTTAAACAGTTACATGTTGTAAAGAATTTATTATTTATAGGAGATTCAAACAAACTTTCCTTTGTGTATCTTTTTCATTTTATGTATTTTTTTAAATGTTGTTGGTGAGGGGTGCAAACATGCTGAAAATATTTAGTAGTACATTAGAGTTCACAGAACAGGCAGAGTCCAGATTATGAATCCGTTCTAGGCAAATAGGTTTTCCTCCTTAAGTGGATGGGACGTAAGTAAGTACAACTGGGTGCCATTTAAAACCACATCTGCTTTGCCACAGTGGTGTGGTAATAGCATCTTTTATTCTGTGTAGGAAGATACCATGGTTACTGCAGATACTAGGGGAGGTATATGTTGAATTTTTAATAGTGCCTGTTGTATTTGCAAGAACAGCAAATAACTTTCAAGGATACACGAGTATATTTTACTTCCTTTAAAAAAAAGTTATTTATTATTACTATTTCGACACTGATTTTGTGATCTTTATGGTGGTATTTTCTTCCCAAAATAATGACTGTAATATACCTGGCATTGAAATTGAAGTCCTGGACAAAACCTACAAAGTCAAGCTAAGGGCACTGGGGGTTTTGGGGGTACCACATGCAAACCTAAATAAAATTGCTGGATTCATTTCTGTTCTTTGACATTGAATTGTATTTTTGAGATAGTACATTTTACAGGAGTGCACAGAGCATGGAATAAGCACTTACTGTTGTATGGATTTTAAAAATCAAAAGAATACAAATAAACAAAGTCAGTTCTTACTGACTTTTGTAGGTAAAATGTGAAAATTACTTAAGTTCAGTAGTAACTGAATTTAAAAATGAAATCAGAATATTTGTAAATATTTGTGCAGGCATCTAGCTAGTTCATCCATGCCTGGGGAGAGCACTGCCTAAATATTTAAGGGTTGATGGCATGAAGATCACCCCATTTGATGTATGATTTTTAGCAAACATGTTCTCATTTATAATGCACATACATCTACTGAGAATGTAAACAGAATTAACTGCCTTTTTGATAACATTTTTGGTTCCATTGGGCCTCTTAAAATAAAAATAAATGTTAAATACTTACACTAGGAGTTTGGTTTTGCTCTACTTGAAGGGGAGCATTGGTGGCTGTTCAGAGCATTTTATTTAATTATTTTTCTCCATCACTGATAAACTGTAGAAATGGCTGGGTGACAAAAGAAATAAGACTGATTGATCCATATTAAGGAATTATTTCATCATACTATTGAGAGTTTTGAACAGCAGATTGTTAATGGATAAGGCTATAAGAAAATCACAGGCCATGGTTGTGTGGTGGAAACTGCAGCTTTTAACACACACTGCAACTTTTTATAGTTACGGCAAGTGTAAGTGAGTGGCGTTGCGACCTGGTGCACAGGATTGCAATGCTACTCAAATCTGTCCCAGCTACCCCTTTGTCATGACCCAGTAGGACCACTGGTGGAGGCAGACAAGGAGAAGGATGGGACTGGGGACCCATGCGGGTCAGAGGTGGATTCCCGGGGGGCTTGCCCCACTCTCTGCCCTGGCTCCATACAGACTGCTGCTGGCACTCAGTGCTGCTGGCACTTCCCTCTCGCTTTGCCTGGGGCAGTTCCACCTCTAGCAACAGCAGCTCCTGCTCAACCTTGAGGCCTGCACCTTCCACAGTGGATGGGCTCAGGGAGGCCCTGGTGAGTGGGGACCAGGCAAGGGCTGTGACAGGGGCTGCTAGTCCTCCACAGGGCCTTCAGGGGTATCTGAGCTGGGGCCACCTTTAGGGCACAAGGGCTCAGGTCCCCACACTATGCCCTGGAAATTGAAGGAATTTGGGGGAAGGGGGAGTTATCCAGCCCCTGTTGGAGAGTAAAGGACCCCGTTGCCAACTCAACATCTAGTCAGTTACAAAACTAGAGTTTTGTAACCTGGCCACCCACTCACACCTGAACCCCCCTTACTTCTGCCCTCAGGGGCTCCCATATCTCTGTCCTGAAGACCCCCACTTCCCTGCAAAGCCACCACACTTCTACTTTGAGGGCATTTCCACTCACACTTGCACTTGCCCATCATGATGGGGGGGGGGCGCTTTTTTTTTTTTTTTTTTTTTTTTTTTTTTTTTACTGTACTTGAATTGAATGCACCAAAATTTCCACTTTAACAAACTGTGGCCACAACTTCTGGAAAAAAATAACCATACATTACAACTTTCTTAGAACCTTATCCCTGGAGCATTTGATGTTAACCATAGAGAACTTGCTACTCCCTCAGTGCAGGCTTCTACTTATTTCTACCTGCTAAATTACATTAAAACATATCTGAAAACATATTAAATATTTTCTAATTTTATTTTTCTAAGTCAGCAATTCCTGTAGTTGTCTAAAGGATGTTATGGAGGTGGTGTACGAAAAAGGAGAAACCACTGGATCAGACTTTTTTTCAGGGTTTAGGCTCTGTTTCTCCATACAACACAATATATTATAATAACGTTGCTATAGCTACACTTCGGCATATATTTCCACTAATTTCAGCCTGCGGTATGGCATACATACGGCAGGTACATTTTTTTTTTTACTTGGCAAAATTTGAAAGTAATGCTAGACATTTTTAATATGTAGTTAAATTTTATGTTTCTTGTTCTCTTTCATTTTAAGGCAGAAAAAGGAAAAATCTACAAAAAGCCTACACTACATCTAACTTAAGCTTGTATATTTACAGCTGAAACTAGATCACTGTGTTTAACCCATTTTCCTCTTACCCACACATTGGTGATTAGATGGCCTTCAATAAATAGACCTCAAATAGTGGGTATTCTGAAAATCTCTTCTGCCACAATGAGATGCATGAGAAACGTATCAGTCTTCACACTAAATTTCCAGGCTTTTGTGTGTTTTAGCCAGACTTTTATCATTACATTAACTTTTTTTGTATGTGTGAATTGGTTTAAGACTGATTTCTTTTCTTTTTATTACTGCCGCTTAAGGATGATCTAAAAGTAATTACAATGATTGAGGCATAATGCAATTCAAAATAATTACAGCCCACTGCATATAAAACTAACAAAACTTTCTGTGTTGATTTATGGGTCTTCTTGGCTGGGCATGAATCTGAAATGATGCCTTTGGGAGCAACACTGCAGATAATGTTAGGCCATTTAAAAAAGCAGATTTGTGTAGTCTATCAGGGCAGAGTAATGTTTTTTCCCCCATAGTGAGAAATTGGTTGTTATCATAGATCACAGATACTGCTCAAAGCTCTTATGAAAGATGAATTAATTTCACTAATGCTTTAATGCAAACCTTTCATGGAGAAGGCTGTATGGTGATAACCTTACTGCGGTCTCTCCTTTCTCAATGATGATTTATGTCGTCTTTTAGTAGATGAAACTGCCCGTATTCACAATCCATCTGCTGGCTAAAGGAATCCTATTAACAGGAGATCTGAGGAGAGACTTAATATTGTAAGGTGAAAGATGTGGTATTCCTTTCCTGGGGCATGATTTTTGTTTGGCTGTTTGGGGGGGGGGGGGGGGGGAGTGTCTTGTTTTAACATTTAGATACTTCTTTCAGAGAGCACCGATGATCTATATAATCTTTACTCAATTTTTGTGCTGTCTTACAAACAGTGAATCAGCTAACGAGTAGCTTGTTTAAAGTCAAAGCCAAGCTCGTTGCTTTAAAAACTGCAGGCAATTGTCTGTCATCTTATCCCTGCCTATAGTTCTTTTCTCAACTGTGTTCCTGGAAGTCCCTTTTTCCCTAGTATTTACAAACAGAGTGTTTGGCTCTGTTAAAGACCAGCAAGCAACCAAAAGGTATTGGATTGCAATTTATACCTCAGACTGGTGAGGGCATTCAGGACCACACTTTTTTGTTTATCTGTTCTAGCTGTACTTTATGTGCTGTGCTGTTTTAGGCCCTAATCCTGCAAACATTTTCACACATTCTTAATTGAAACAAGTGAGCCACTCCTGTGAAGTTAATGGAATTACTTGCATGTTTTCAAGCAAAGCACTTCCATAACTGTTTGAAATTGTCCTATTAGGCAGGGAGATGGTCTTGTGGTTTAAGCACAGGCAGGCGAATTGGGAGAGGTGGGTTCTTGTGCTGTGCTGTCCTGTCTCTCTCTAATTTGCTGCATGATCATGGACAAGTCATATAATCTTGTGCTTCACCTATCCCAGGTGTAAACTGGGGATAACAATATCTACCTTAGTGGGCTGTTGTGAGGTGTAATTCATTAATGTTTGTAAAGCATTCTGAAAGCCTTGGAGGAAATGAACTATAGCAGTGCTATCATATTTTGTTCTTGTCTGACCTACAAGATAGACACATACATTCCCAGTCCTGGCAACCCTAAATTCCCCTGTCCTGTTAAAAGGAAGTGCATTTTTTAATAGGAATGTAGTTCTGGGTTGTGGTTTTTTAGTGTAATAAACCATGGAGAAGCAGACAAATCTGTAGGACAGGTGAAATACTAAGGCTCCAAAACTGGAGTGAGTAATTATAAGCTTGTGCTCATGCATTTTTTAAGTTCTGTTCTCAAATACTTAATTGTAAGTTCGTGATTGCAAGTAATTATTTTTGTTATTTTGGCTGTAATTATAGGCCAGAGAGCTGCTAGCACAGAACTTGCATGACTGCAGCTACTGGTAGGGTCAGCCTCTTCTTATTCCCAATCCCTTCTTCTGTGACCTCCAACTCACTAGCTCTTTCCTGGTTATTTAACACAGAGAGGGGACCCCCCCCCGACCTTTCCTCACTCCATGCTCTTGTCCTGATTGCTGGCACAAAA